TCATAGAATGGTTTGGGTTGGAAGGGACCTTAAAGACCATCCAGTTCCAACCCCACTGCCATGAGCAGGGACACCTTCCACTAGACCAGGTTGCTCAAAGCCCCATCCCAGCCGGGTGTTGACCACGGCCAGGGGGGGGCCAGCCACAGCTTCTCTGGGCAACCTGTTCCAGTGCCTCACCACCCTCACAGTGAACAATTTCTTCCTTACATCTGGTCTAAATCTCCCCTCTTTCAGCTTTAAACCATTACCCCTTGTACTATCACTACATGCCCTTGTAAATAGTCCTTCTCCAGCTTTCCTGCAGGCCCCCTTTAAGTACTGGAAGCCTGCTATAAGGTCTCTCCCCGGAGCCTTCTCTTCTCTAGGCTGAACAACCTCAACTCTCTCAGCCTGTCCTCACAGGGAGGTGCTCCAGCCCCCTGAGCATCTTCATGGCTCTCCTCTGGACCCGCTCGAGCAGGTCCATGTCTTTCTTGTGCTGGGGCCCCCAGAGCTGGACGCAGTACTTGCAGGTGGGGTCTCACCAGAGTGGAGTAGAGGGACAGAATCACCTCCCTCAACCTACTGGCCACCCTTCTTTGCAGCTCAGGATGCCATTGGTTTTCTGGGCTGTGAGCGCACATTGCTGGCTCATGTTCAGTCTTTCATCCACCAGCACCCCCAAGTCCTTCTCGGCAGGACTGCTCTTGATCCACTCATTGCCCAGCCTGTCTCTGTGCTTGGGATTGCCCCAACCCATGTGCAGGACCTTGTCCTTGGCCTTGTTGAACTTCATTAGGTTTCCACAGGCCCACCTCTCCAGCCTGTCTGGGTGGCCTCCCCTCCCTCCAGCGTGTCGACTGCACCACACAGCTTGGTGTTGTCAGCAAACTGCTGAGGGTACACTCAACCCCACTGTCCATGTCACCGACAAAGGTATTTCCCGCCCTCAACTGCTTTTTAAACTAGAAATTTGTCATGGATTACTGAAATTGTTGGTAGTCTGCTTCTGTTTGTGAGAACACATTTCATTTTAGTTATCTATAGTTAGACCAAAAAAACTTTCTAAGAAATAGTATTTCTTATCTCATTCTGACTTGAAGGCTGAAAATTGGTCACATTCTGGTGGAAGAATAATTTCTGTTCGAGCTATTGTTATCTATTCTTTTTGCTTAATAGTACTCTCTTAGTTGACTAGGTAATGTTTCTAATGCCTGAAGTGTTAATGATTATTTGAAGATACTATTTTTGCTGGAGGTTTTCTGTTACTGTCTGTACAGTTGCTGGACTTGGAGATCGTAGTAATATTTTACTAGATCCACACAGATTTGGCAACAAGCAGGGTCATGCTTAGAGAATTTGCATTCTTACCCCTGAGCTTGGCTTTGTTGCTGCTGGAGGGAAAGATTCAAGAAACAGTCTACAGTTAATTTATACTTTTTCTGGGCTCTACTGCGAATGATTGTCTTAATGATAATTACTTCTGTGAGCTTCATAAGAAAATACTGAGAGGTTATCAGAACTAGTTCTGTTCAGGCAGATACCCTTATTTATGCTAGTGACCTTATTTATATATTGGTCAATGAAAGTGAATTCTCTAAGATAACAGAAATGCTTTAATTTTGGTCTGAATATTTTCATTGGTTATCAAGAGAAAAAGCACAGCTTTTTTCCTCAGGACTGACATGTCCCAAACCATCCAAGTAAAACATTGTAGTATTCCTTGGCTGTGAGAGCAGTGAGCATATATGATCTGGGCTGGTCACTTCCATAAGCTCTTGTTTAATATTAATATAGCACCTCTGCCTACATGGGCTTCTGTTTAGTGTCTGTCTTTTCAGTGTAATACATTTAAATTTGTCACTGGCATGATAGCGACCTTCATTGTATTTCAAAGTACAGAAAAAAAGTGGGACAGCAATATAAATCTGTGTTATGAAAGATACCCTTTTTAAGTGGCAGAGACGGATACATGCCTTTGAATGCTGGATGTTCTATTTTTCCGCTTTTTAGAAAACAGTTTCAGAAACTGACATAATATTAGGGCAAAATTTTTGGTACTGACATGACTGAAGCACTAGAGATCACTAGCACCAAGCTGCATTTTTTTTAAGTTTAAACTTGTGTTAAGTAACCTTTGTAATTAACTTAAACATGGTCAAGTTTTCAGCCTACATAGATTGCAGCTTCATTTACTGTTTCAGTGTAGTTCAGAATACAGTATTATCATTCTTTCTAATAAAATAACCTTGTGGTTTTGTTACAGTCCAGTGCAGTTCCATGTTATTGGCCAGCTATGTTGTCAGTAATGTAAATGGAGAATAAGTTTGGCGGTCTTTTGCAACACAGGCCAGTGTGAGCAATTGTGTTTACAAGACAGACATCAGAACTGTCCTATTCCTTAGTTTATGTCTATAGTTTCTTCCAAAATCTGGATGGATTACAGGCAGTTTCACACCAGCCACTACATGTTTTCTTCCCAAGATATTTTTGCACCTTATTTAAAGTGAGATTTGAGGCTTGTGCAATATTGACTCCACTGTGTTACTCTGCACTGTGCATTTCATAGATATTTCTTTTCAAAGGAAAAACTCTGACGCCAATAATTACTAAGAAACATTCACTAACGTCTTTGTATTGGGCAGTATAGTTTCAATATAATCTGTGTGAGAGGCTGAGACCTAGGATGATGTTTTCTCAATATTTACAAAATCTGCTGGTGTGGGAGATTACAGGCAGATGGGAGTGAGATTTGAGAGACTGTCAGCATGCAAGTGGGACAACCTGGTGAGGGGTAGCGATTCCTTCCTTTGACTATCTGTGGCACTCTTCTTGCAGAAATGGCTTCACTATGTGCAAAGAGCTGAACTGGCTAGCATTGCAGCCCAGACTATTACAGTACACTGGCATGAATTTTAGGTCACCATGAAATGCTGTTTCAGTGGATCACTGGTGATTCAGGAACAGTTGGCATGGACGGGAACTTTGGTAGTAGTGGTTGCTCAGGAATCTGAGCTCTTTGCCTCACAAGTCACTCTGAGAAGTGTATAGATTTGTCTTGGGAGGGTACATTGTAAGGTTTCCTTTCCTTGCTTCATTTCACTGTTTAGTAAGTCACAGGTGACATACTAAAGCTAGTGTTGTGGTGACAAAGGCTATGCCTAACTCAGTCAAATTATATGTGCAGTTTAATTATACAATGTTCAAGAGACTCTCGGGTAGTGAGACAGTAGAAGTCAGCAACTGGTTTTTACGTTAAGGTATCACCAAGGCTGTGGTTTGCTGCTTCTGTTCCCACTTAACCTTGAGGGAATCTCATTATATCCCCATAGTAACATTTTGAAGCATGTGTGGAGCTTAATTAAACTTTACTTTCTCCAAATACTTACTCTGTTAACCGAACATCTCGTTTGAATTGAACTGGAACAGATTGTGCGGTTTATATCAGTTGACAGCACTTAATCTAGATTAATTTGTGCAGTTCATCATTTCACTGTTATGGTTACTTTCTCATGTTCTAGCTTGGGACTCTGCAATAAGATTACCTGAAAAGGGACTTGTAAGAGGGATGTGCTCAGATTTGTCTCTGAATTCAGTTTTACTGATCGATAGTCTCTTTTGGATTTCACATTTAAATCTCCTCCTACCCACCACCTTTCCTCTCATACCATAGAACTTGTCTTTCAGAAATCTGATCCATCCTGCAGTGTAAACTGTGTGATTTGTTATTTCGCATGGTACATAAAAACGTGTCTTATTTTGGACAAAAAAGACGGAAGAGAGAATCCCATCATCAAGCCACAACCTAAATTGATGTTCTGTCTAAATTCCTTTGCCTGCCAGTTCTTGATTTGAAATAAAATTTTAAGGAATTAAAGAATTTACGATTTGGACACATACAGTTTGGCTATCACAGAATCACAGAATGATTGAGGTTGGAAGGGACTTCTGGAGGAACCTCTTGTCCAGCCTGCCTGCTTAAATGCACATCAGATTGCCCAGGACTGTGTCTGGTGGCTTAAAGAATGTAAATAATATACAAGAATATAAACAATTAATCCTCATGCTCTTAAGTAATTTTAAAACTACTTTTGTAATTACAAAAAAAAAACCCAACTGATATATGTTAAGAAGGTATTACCAAGGTTGAAATTTGCAGATAATTTAGAACAGGTGTTCATTTAAAAAGGAACACTTTGTAAAGCTGTAAATATGCATGATGATGTATGATGTTACAGTGGACCTTAGAAGTCTAGATAAATTTCTCATGGAATATACTTTTCTTAGGATAATTATGCTCTGTATGTGTTGTTAACATCAGCTTGTCCTGAGTTCTTGCTAGTGTGGGGATGTGTGTAGGTATGTATGAGTCTATTAGGATTATATGTTATTAACTCATCCATACACATAAATGTATTAGTGCAATTGGTGAATTCACATGTGTATCTATAGAAAATAAAAAATGCAGATCTCATATTTGCTGGTTTGCTAATATCATCATGACCACCTGATGAAAGGAAAAAAGTTGCTCTTACTTGATACAAAGAATTTATGCTTAGGTACAAACAGGTAACACACTGCTTTTGAAGGCTGCATAGATACAGAAGATACAGAAAGCACATGGCCCCATACTAGCTTGCATGCATGAATATATGTATTTTTAAACTTCTTTTTTTTCCTATTTCTTTCACTCAGTAGCTTTTTGTTCTTGCTTCTGGAAGCAAACAAGAGCTGTCAATAGGCATAGCTTTTCTGGCTCAGTGTGAGAAACATAACATAGACAATACCTAGGTCAAACGCACGCTAAATGAAGGATGAATGTGAAATTAATGTTCACTTGTGTTACTATTTTGTGATAATTACTGCTGATAATACCAGATTTACTCTGCAATTTACATTAACATGTTTAATATTTTTGATTGAGCAAACATCCTTGTTACATTTTTATATATTTTTTGCATGAAACATCGTTAGTATTGTTAAGACATCTGTTAAATTAAAGTTTTGTTTTTATTTAGGTTTATGAGTTAGATGGCATCCCCTTGATCCTGGACAACTGCAGCATTGATGACAACAATCCTTGTATCCTTTACAAAAGAATTCTAATTATTAAATATTACTCTTAAGAAAGGGGGGGGGGGGGGGTGTTAATATATTTATGCCAGCATTGCTTTCACTTGGTACCTGAGTCTAACTGGCCTCATGAGATTCTAGGTTGTATTTAAATGCCTGGTTCAGAAACAAGCAAACAGAAATACGCTTTCATGAACTGGATTCTAAGTAAGTTGAGCTGTGGTTATATTCTGTTTCCTAAAATAATAAATATGACTGGTTTACAAATCTCAATTCAGAAAGTGAACTGTGATAGAAATCTGAATTAAGACTGTGGTTGGTCATTGTGTCAGATCTTGAAGCTTTTGCTTCATGTGAAATCTATTCAGTAGACTGAAATAAGTACCTGTCAATTCTATATGCTTATTAAGTGTGACTGGAGAACTTGTTCTAAGCAGAGACAAGGCTAGCAAGCTGTAATGTAAACAGGTATGATTGAGAGAATTAGTGATGCAGATTACTGAGAGAATTAGTGATGCAGATTACTGAAATGCTGGTGAGATTTTCATATAAATGGCATTGTACTTCATATTTGGGATTTTTTTTTTCCCTGGCGTTTAGGAGCAGAGACTTTCCAAGATAGATTGCTATTAGAGGGAAATAAGTTTTTATTGAAGATGAACAGTTGTTAAGCAGACTTAACCTTCTCTTCATGAATTTGCACAGTAATTTTGCTGCTGTGAGCTATTTTCTGTCGTCTGATCATAAGCTCCTTGTAACTTTCTGATAAGTGCATCTGGAAATCAAATGCTTTTCCTGTCTAGAGTGATGTCAGCTTTCTTATACTGAACACATGAAACAAGGTTGGTTTTTTTAAATTAATTTGTCAGGAAAAGCTCACTTTTAAACAAGTATCATAAAAACAAACAAACAAAAGTGAAAATGTTACACAGTCTCATAATTGTGTGCTGTAGAACTTCATCTACATATAAATATATCTTACAAGGATGAAATAATGAAGGGACAGATGATAGCAAATTGTTAACAAGCTGAAGTGGGGGAGCAATAGGTGTTAAGTATCCTCTGAGTTATTCACTTTGTTGCTTTATATGCAAGGTTTTTACATTCATCACTATTCCTGTAGATACAGGTTGGAGACCTGACAGTGTGTCTCTTGACAGTGCACCAAGTGGCAGAGTTGTAGTTCCACAGTCTGATTCTGGTAAGGGGCACTGCTAGATGTGGTGAGAAGGGCAGGGAAAGTTACCCTTCCTTAAGCAGAAGAGCAGCCCTGAGAAAACCTTGTAATGAGTTTTGATCCCAAGTTACTCTTCCTTTGCTGGAAAGCACAGCTGTGCAATGACTTTTAGAATTTCATTCTAGGATTAATCCTTCTTTTTAGCTGCTAGTAAAAGAGAATAAAATTTGAGGCCTTCAAAGGGTAGAGTTGTAATTTACGATCTTGAATGAAACGAAAATAAAATACCATGGGAGCCTTTACTGCATTTTGAGCAATGTGGAACTTCTTAAACCTTTTGATACAGGCTGACGTTTTACGACTGTACTGTAAACTTCTTAACAGAGGATAAAACTTTGCTTACTTGGTTTTTAAAGACTTAGTAGACATAATGACACCTCTTAATAGGAGTTTTCACCACTGATCCATAGCATACAGTATTGAGGAACATGGAAAACTAAGTAGCACTTTGGCAGAAGGGGAATTAGCCTGCTGTGACAAAGTTTGCTGCATCAGCTTTTGGAGCACAGCTGCTGGCTACTGCTCTATTTATCATTCTGACCTAGAGCTATTCCGGGCACTCTTGTGCTACATGAAGTTAATGCTCCCGTGCTTCTCTCCTGCCTTTAATGTTTCTCATCTGCTCTGTCTCAGCATGTCTTATGCAGGGAATCGGAAAAGGAGTTTGCAGTTTGTATCTGTCTCTACTTTCATCTGCTTTGCAGCATATTCTGCTACTTCTAGACACCACAAACCAAGCCCTTAGTAGCATGTAGGTGCCTGAATCCATTGCATAACATTCCTCTGAAGAGATTTGACCGTTTCTGTCCTCCCTCTGTGTACCCAGTCCTGTCTTGCACAAATCCATTTTGTGATGCTTGTAAGCCAGAGCAATGCTCTTACTAAGATTTGAAAACCTACTTCCTTAAAATCGAAACATCCTAAAATTGCCTGGATTGTAACTTTGTGATCCAAAGTGAATATATTTTGTCTCTTTTCTCTTTTCAAGGAAGATTAATTAAAGGGAAGTATTTAGAGAGCTCTTGAGCTGGGTGTTGAGAGAGTTGTTGAAATTTGAATATAATCACTCAGTGGTGCTGCAGTTTGCCAAGGTGATGTAGAAAGCTGTGAGGGAAAGCTTGGTCAAGCACTTTAGCCACAGTTCCTTTGGGGAGTCATGTCCAGAAACTTCTCTTTATGTTCTTGTTTCTAGTGCCTGTTCTTGTGGTTTCAGCCTGTGTTAGTTGAATTTCTCCTTGGATAAAGCTGACTGGAAAAAGTTTCATCCAGATACTTTTTATATGAGAACTTCTTAGATTTCTTGGTAAAGTCTTTGTAGATGCAGATTTTTGTTTGATCTTTATCTGTTTTGGAGACACCCAAGCCTCTACAGTTAAGATGTCATTAAGTTTTCTACTGAAAGCAGAGTTGATATACCAATTGTCTACCTTTTACTAAGTTCTGCCTCCAAATTACACATACAAAATTTTCAAAAGAAAAATGTAACTTTTGTGGTAAAAGTGATACTTTTTTTTTTTTCTGGACAGAAAAAAAAATCTCTAAAGTATGCAATTCATCAGGTGGAGCTGGACTGACGTGTTAGATGTTAAAAGAGCTCTTTATTACCTTTGAGAGGAGAAATTCTTCGATAAATCTTTTTATTTGTAGTGTATGGAAGCATATTGAAAGAGGAATTGGATCTGCTCTTATCCTAAAATAAATTCCTTTGTAAACTTGTCATTAAAATTGCATCCTTTGAGATCCTGAACAGTTCTGTAATGTGTGTAGGAATATCAGGAGGTTCATGGCTTATGAAATTGCTAGCTGAAATTCAAATGGCGTGTTTGTATTGCTTTGACTTTTTAGGTCTGATTTCATCTTTCAGTGCCCAGTTTGGGAGTACTGTTATCTTGTCTAATTACATCTCAGACTTGCATCTTTTACATTTATACTAACAAATGGTATTTTATTCCTTGAGGATATTTTACAAGTAAAAGCAACAAAACACCCCACCCTCGTTAGTAACAGACTCGAAGATGATTATGAACAGTTACAAACAAATTTGCTATACCTCTTGCAGTTATTTTAATTGGTATTTTTAAATTTTCGGCTACTATAATTTTGTGTGATTCCAAGTAAATTCAACAGAGAAATGCTGAAAGGTACTACGTTTTAAACTCGTAGCTATTAGGCTTTTAGCACAGGGGGAAAGGTAAACAGAGTGAGACAGGAGAGATGCAGTTCATTATAGACCTTGGGGTCTGAAGAGTTAAACTTCAGAGAAGGCTGAGTGTCCCGTCTTGGATTGGCTATATCCAAATCATAACTGTCCTTTTGTATTCAAAAGAAAAAAGGCTGTTTCAAAATGCAAGTGAACTTGTTTACCTTTAGATTAAGGAGAGGTTCTTTCATGAGATAAATTTTTGGTTCTGAAAATTCACTTTCTTGTTCTGCTTCTGAAAAGTTGGGAGCATTGTGCTTTACTTACGTAACCTGTGTTTAAAAACAAATAAATTAAACCTGCCGCAGAATAGCAGAGTGGGTTGGAGATGCCTATCTGTGTAATACCAGTAAAAAACTTACTCCAGATCCTGCTTTTCAGGTTATTTGGGTTGAAAAGATGTTCTAAATTAAAATATCTTTTGCTCTCTGAGCCACCATCTTCCTCATCTCTGACAGGCTCTAGCAACAGACAAGAGCCCTTCTTTTTGTTCTTGTCTTTTACCTCATCCTAAGCTCTTACTGCTCCTTCCAGCTTCATTTCTGACCTTTCACAGATTCCACTTGCTTAAGGCAAACATAAGGAGGGAGACCAGCCCATTCTGATCAAAAGACTGTTGACCCTAATAGTACAAAAATGGTGCTTATGAAGGACATTAAACTAACCTGTTTATTATTGAAGACTTTTCTGTTTACCTTAACTGAGTTGTCTGGTTTTTTGCTAGTTCCTAACATTTATACTCATGAGTAACACACAAAGATATGCTTTTTAATTTTTTTTTAATTTAATGGCGGTCCTTAGAAGTATTTATTACTACTTTGGGCAAAAACATATTATCCAAAGTACTGCAATGTAATAGCTGTTAGTGGTAAAACTTGAAAATCAGAAGTGAAATGCAGTTTTGAAGATGGAATATTCTTGTTTTTTTCAGGATGCTTGCCCATCTTAGCCTTTTGAGATTCTTGTAGTAGATTTCTTGATAAATTGATTTTGTGAATGTCTGAATTTAATTGGAATGACCATATGTAAGTGTCCATATTATATTAACCTCTCATCAGGCATGTTTTTCTGTTAGCCAAAAGTGCAGTCATACTTGAAGGAAAAATATCCTGCTTGGGGGAGCAGGGGGGATGTACATCCACATGTATATGTTTCGATATATGAGTGAACACCCAGCTGGCTATGTTTTAGGAGTAAAAATTTTCAGCATTTGTGAAAGGAAAACCTATGGTTGCTGTGGATATCCATACATAGGCCCCTTAGTTTGGGTAACAGATGAAAATGTAGAAAATATAAGTTAATTTTTCAGATACTCCTTCCCTGAGCTGCTTCTATTATATTCAGTCTGAAAGTCATCTGAGAGGTAGATTGAAAATAGTTTTGACTTCATGGCAGCAGCAAGTATAATTGTGGTTCATGAAACTTTTGGCTAAAGCTAGAAGAAATCAAGTTGCTATGGTCTACAACAATCACAGTTTGTTTTTGTGAGATGCCAGCAAAGACTTTTGGGGGAGCTGACAGACATTTTATTTCTAAGTTGCAATGTGCAACCTAAAACAGGCCACATACTGT